AACAACAACATTTTGAATTTAACTCAGTCCAATTTTTATCTGCATATACCGAAATAATTGACTGGCTGTCCCCCTGTCCGTGACCCGTCAGTCATCTCAAAAAAACTATTAATTGCAGCAAAAATAATTCAGAAGCCTCACATGGAAAATTTTGTCTTTATATCTCAAGATTGTAATGTAAATTTAAATAAATAATCTTTTTGAACCTCTATCTTAAAAAGTTATTTTATAATCATATCAACAGATTATAGAGAAAAGAAGGGCATTTTTTTTTTTTTCACACTTTGTGATAATTTTTCTTTTAGTTACTTATTAAAGTGTCACGAACGTTGAATTTCTCATTATACCTTGTATCATATCATTAGCATGGCACACATGCCTCTTTTATGCACTTTTTAATTTGGTCATTAATATGACTTTTTTTTAATCACTTGGGGAGATAATATGTCCTCATGTTTATTATTTTTTTTTATTATTATTTATACATTTTATCATTTAAAAAAACACATTGTCGATCATTATCATACTTTTATCAATTTGTTCTGCATTTTTTGATTTAGATTCTTATCATACTTTATTAATTTGTTCCAATTTGTTTCGCATTTTTTATTTAGAATTTCACGTATGTTGAATTTGACGTCTAATTTCTCTAGTATGATTTGCTTGTCGTTCTCTTGTTAGTGTAACATTGGTGTTTGATAAACTGTTAGGCAGACATACTCAATTTTTGTTCGATGAAACTAATAAGACATATATTTGATAATTAAAAATTATCTATGCCCCAAATATGACTTGTTTCTTCAATCTTCAGAGGAGATAATATTTCCTCTTTTTTCTTACTACTATTGACAATGTTATCAACTGGTTATGCAAAGTTCCACCGTTGAATTTCGCGTTTTAATTTCTTCGAAATGGCATGAGATGATATTTCGATATAAATCTGATCGTCTATAGATTTTCTCATCTTCTCTTAACAAATTTAGCATGAGATAATAGACTTATAATATATTATATATAGTTTTATACATATTGTTTAGATTTTTTTGTACACATTTTATCTATTTATACATTTACATATACATATGTCAAAGTTAAATATTTTTAGACATTAAAAAAAAAAAAGAAAATTTTAGGTGGC